CAGGCAATGGTGCTGGGCAGGAGATGTGGGGAAAGCAGGAGTTGCGTTTTGAACAAGCCAAGTGTGTGGTACCTGGGGGACAGCCAGGGAGAGGATCTGGCAGGCGGCTGGGTCTGCAAGCAGCTCTGTTCCATTACACACTCAGCAGCCAAAGCGAGCCTGAAGCCCGCTCTTCCTGCCCTCATCTCCAAAGCCACCTTGCTGCTTCTCAGGCCCACATCCCTAGAGTCACCCTTAACTTTCTCCACAGCCCACATCCCATCCATCAGCAAAACATATGGATCTGCCTTCAAAGTATACCCAGCCTCTGGCCGCCACCCTGAGCTTAACCCATACCATCTCCGCCCTGGATCAGCCCTGCTTTTTTCTTCATCCCAAGCAGCTCATTCTCAACACAGCAGCCAGAGGGATCGTAATAGGACTCAAGGCAGATCCTGTCCCTCCTGTGCTCAGAACCATGCAAGTGTCTCCTCAATCTTATGCGAAGTTAAAGTAACTTTCTTATAATGGCCCGTGAGACTCTGCATTTTCTGGCCCCAGTACCACTCCCTCGATTATGCTGCTTTGGCCATACTGGCTGCCTGGCTGATCCTCGAACACCCCTGCCCCGGGGCCTTTGCACTGGCTGTCCTCTCTGCCTGGAATGCTTTTCTGCCCGATATCTGCATGGTCTGCTCCCTGTATAAAACAGCCTCCTCCCCGACACTGGCTGGAGCTCTGCATCTCCCTTGCCCTGCTCCGATTTTCTTCTCAGTACCTGTCACCATCCGACATATTACATTGGTTTATTGCTTATGACTTGGCTTTACCATGACGGCAGGTGGTGGGGGGGAGGGGGTTGTTGCATGTACTGATGTATCCTCAGAGTCAAGAAAATGACTAGCAAGTAGTAAGCTAGTAGCTCCCAATAAATATTTATTGAATGAATGACTGAGTGATCTTTTAAGATGTTGGTCCAACCATGCGATTCCATGCAATTTACTTCCCCTGGCTCTTGCTGGGGAAGTAAATTGGCTGTAATCTTTTTGGAAGGACATTTATCAATTTCAGTGCACATAGCATCTGGGCCAGCACACCCACCTCCAGGGACGGCCTTGAAGACAGACTGGTGGTGTACGGAGGTGCAGGAGGACATGGCTGGTGATGAGAAGTGTGTTCAGAAAATGCAGGACAACCACTGGGACCCCTCATAGCTGTCAGAATGTGTGGAGTGAAGAGGAAAGACGCCCAGAATAAAATAAGTGAAAAAGCCAGGGGACAGCATGACCAGTGGGATCCCATGCACGTAGCCAAGGTAAAGGACAGACGCACATTTATGGTTTAGTTATGAAGAGAATGTTTCTAGAAGGAAACTCATGTCATTTTTAGTAGTGATTGCCTCTGGAAAGTGAGACCAGGGATTTGGAAATGGAAGAGATTTTTTTGTCTGCCCCTCTATAAAGTTTGAATTTGAGTTATGACTTTTTTATTTTTATTTCAGCAATGAAGAGAGAGAGAGAGAGAGAGAGAGAGAGAGAGAGAGAGAGAGAGAAACATCAATGATGACAGAGAACCATCGATAGGCTGCCTCCTGCATGCCCCACATTGGGGATTGGGCTCGCAACCTAGGCATGTACCCTGACCAGGAATCGAACCATGACCTCCTGGTTCATAGATTGACGCTCAACCACTAAGCCACACTGGCCGGATGAGTTATGACTTAAAAAAACAAATAAACAGGAAAGACAGAAACCTTTAATGACTCTCTACTACCTTTAGGGTCAAATCCAACTTCATAATGTGCTTTCAAACCCCTGCAGACTTACTGACCTGCTGGGCTGTATCATTCATTATGTACTTCCTCCCCCAAAGCACATACATGCACGCACACGCATGCACACACCCATTGTCACTAGCACAGACATCCATTTCACTCAACCCCCCGTATTCACGCACACACACACATACACCCATATTCACGCACACATATATATGCGTACCACCTCTCTGGGTTCCTCTATGGTTCACATCTCTCTCATTGTGGCCTCTACCCTCCTGCCTGGCTCTCATCAACCTTCAGGTCTGTTTAAATGCCTCCTCCTCCTCCCTTGTGAGCCTTCTCTGTCCACCAGCTCCCTCAGGGTCCACAGCCTCCAGTTTTCCCCTAACCAGATTCATGTCACTCTGCACTTACACCTCCAGGTCTCCGCCTAGACTTAGGTCCCTGGATGGGGACATAGCTCCTACTGTTCACCACTGGGTCCGCAGGCTTTGGGCTTATGGGACTCGAAGTGGTGGTGGGGTTCATCACCAAAGTGGGGACACAGGGGGAGGGGTAGTCTTACAGACAATGGCGGGCACTGGGTCTTGGGAAGGTGAACTGGGTGCCTGTGGGACTTATGGGGGAACGTACAGGAGCAGCTGTGAGATAGGATTTTGTTGTTGTTGTTGTTAATCCTCACCCCAGGATATTTTTTCCATTGATTTTGTTTTTTTGAGAGAGTGGAAGGGAAGGGGGGAGGGAGGGAAAGGTGAAGGTGGAGGGAGGAAGGGAGGGAGAGAGAGAGAGAGAAAGAGAGAGAAACATCAATGTAAGAGAGACACATTCATTGATTGCCTCTGGCATGTGCCCCAACCAGGGTTGGGGATAGAACCTGCAACCCAGGCATGTGCCCTTGATCAGGAACTGAACTTGCAACCCTTCAGTGCACGGGCCAACACTCTAACTACTGAGAAACACTGGCCAGGGCTCTGAGATAGGTTTGAAGCACCGGAGAGGTCTGGCTGGAATTCTTTGGATCTGGTTTTTAGCAGCATAAAAAAGAGAATGAGTTGGAAGGTCACTGGCCCACAAGGGTCAAGCAGGCATCAGATTTGAGTGGTATGGACTGTGTCCATCTTCATTTTTTGGCTCTAGATGGTGAAATGGGCACAGGGAAGTATTTTTCTCCCATAAGAAAAACAGCAGAGTAAGTGAGATGATTCAAGACTCCTGATTGAAGTGGGAATGGTGGGGACTGTGGTAAACTAGAGAGCAATCGCCCCTTCTAGCACTGAGTTCTACTAGCTGATTAGGAATTCATTTATTCTTATTTTTTTAGAGGGGGGGAGAAGAAGAAGAAGGAGAAAAGAAAAGAGAGGAGAGGAGAAGAAAAGAGAAAGAAGAGAAGAGAAGAGAAGAGAAGAGAAGAGGAGAGGAGAGGAGAGGAGAGGAGAGGAGAGGAGAGGAGAGGAGAGGAGAGGAGAGGAGAGGAGAGGAGAGGAGAGGAGAGGAGAGAGAGAAACATTGATGTGAGAGAGATGCATCAATCAGTTGCCTCCCCTACACGCTCTGACTGGGGTTTGAAGCCACAACCCAGGTATGTCCCTGACTGAGAATCGAACCTGCGACCTTCTGGTGCACAGGACGATGCTCCAATCAACCCCACTGGCCAGGCAGGAATTCATTATTAATCCACATATGCGTGTCTTGTACTAGGATACAGCAGTGAATAAGAACGCATGTCCTGCCTTCCAGTGTGAAAGATTGAGACAGCATCACAGTAACAATAATCATGTAATTCAATACAT